AATATTCTGTATGCACTACCGATATACTTCATAGTTTACTGCTTGCAGAAAGGGCACTCTGCTTCAATATTGTTCGATTTTTTTCGAATTAGTTATGCCATGCAATTCTCCCATGCGGTCCGGCTTTATTTGCCCTAGATGCTTTCTTATTAATCAGATTTTTTTTAAGTTTGAAGGTCACTAGAACTAATGTCTCCTTTTTATTCTCCATCGCTGCAGAAAGAAAACCACGAGCTCCAGGTTCGACTGGAAAGCGCTCTGACAGAGATCTCTGTGCGTGAAAAGCAGTGCCTCGCGGACATGGAGAGAGCCGAGATGATTTATAAGGAACAGCTGGCCGACTTGGAAGAGCATTGCCGTCGGCAAAGCATGGAGGCTTCTCAAGTCCTCACCGAAAATGTGGTAACAAACTTAAACAGACAGGTAGAAGAGTGGACGAACCGTTTACAAGCAGAAAAAGCTGCCAGTGAGAGGGAGACTATAACAGTGTTTGAGAAAAGGTTGGTCGAACTGTCTGAACGGGTCACCTTTGGACGCTCGCGGATAACCAGCGAGGTCAGTATGTGTTGACGACACTAGTGATGCTTTATACGATGCAACAATGCTGGTGGCTAGTGATCACGTGCCAATGTCAGCCAATGACGTCAACTAAAAGATCTGCCACTTTGAAAATAATTTGGTCTTTGCTGTGTGAGCGTGAAATTCCTTCAGGACAGTGGTAATGTCCTAGACAAGCCCAACGAGTTCTCCTGCCTGTGGTGAATTTGCGGCACTATGAAAAGTGAAACTTTAAAATGCAAAAAATGACAATTTTAATTGATCTAAAGATAACTCAAGTACAAATTATTGCTAGGTATCGAGTCTTATTTACATTTAAACTGAGAACATGTGGTGCAATGGTAGAGTGTTGAACGGAATGACCAAAGATCCGGGGTTCAAATCCCGGGTGATCCACACCTGTGATTTGGTTTGACTGCCTGATGATGGCTAATAAGACAGAAGTGGCCAATCCGGTCTCCCTGGTCTTCGTCGGTTCCAATTCGTATATGAATATGTGAAAATGTAGGGCTCATCGATCTGGCAGTGGAACAATAAGAGTTCCATTTTTGCCCTGGAGTCGCTTTAGAGGCCTTACAGGCATTCGCATAGCAACTTATAGAAATATGTTGAATTGGATCTGACAAGGCAAAGGAAGACCAGAATGGCCATTCCTGGTTTGTTAGCCGTCATCAGCCAGTCATACCCAATCTCAGGGGTCGGAACCCCCGCGATTCGAACCCAGAACCTTTTGTTCATTGAGCGCAAGACTACCATTGAACTACAGGTTCGTTGTTTTGTTGGTTGCGATCGGAAATCGACCGGGTAATCCACACTTGTGATTGAGTATGACGGGCTGATGACGGCTAATGAATCGGAAATGGCCATTCTGGTATCTCTTTGCTTTGCCTGATCCATTTCTTTACATACACATATATATCCACACTACGACCCATAATTCGTGTAACATGCTGACATATGCGAAGGATTGTTATTTTCGCGTTAATCGGCATTGAGTAAGTTTGCAATACCGATTATCGTCTAGTCTTTTCTGAAGTCATTTCAGTCATAATAGGATGCCGGATTTTAACGAGTTTCTTCCTGCCCGCTAACAAAAATTATTTACTGTAAAAAGTGGCTACTTAATTAGTATGCATTTTTATCATTGATTTTGACTATCTTTATAAATTCAAATACATCGTATAGAAAACATATGCGAAAAAATTATTTCTTGCACTACTTCGATAGGAAGTAACGCCTGCTCTATGTTTTCTACTTAAAGAAAGGGTATCTTTCGGTTTTTAAAAAGTTTCTATGTATGAGCATTTTTACGACTGTGAAATGTTCATTCATAATACATCGTATCCGTCAGTTTATTAATGCGGCCTATAATGTATACAACCTAATTCACATCTATTGCAATATTGTAGGAGAACTATGTGACGTCTTCCTCAAACCGTAGGAAAAAAACGTACTTTTTCTTAAACAAGATGCACACAGCACGCAGTTTGCAAACCTTGAATTCAAGCGTAGCAGTCAGTAGGTTTAAGAATTATTCGGCAATTTAGAAACATTTCTAAAACCGAAAAATATCCTTTCTTTAAGTTTAGAATTTAAAGCAGGCGTGAGTTCCTACCAAACGAGTGCAAGAAATATTTTCCTCGTTTATGTTTTTCATAAAATATATTTGAATTTTTAAATGCAGTCAAAATCAATGGTAAAATGCATACTACTTAAGTAGCCACATTTTATTGTACATCGTTTTTGTTAGCGGTCAAAAGGAAGCTCGTTAAAATGCCGGCATCCTATCGTGACTGAAATTACTTCAAAATAGACTACACGATAATCAGTATTGCAACCTTAAGCAATGCCGATTAGCGAGAGAATATCAATCTTTTGCATATGTCGGCATGTTACGGGAATTATAGACCGTACTGTAAATTTTTTCAAAACTTCTTCGTAATATAAACGACAGGCATTACTACTGGCGGTAAAACAAAGTGATCAGTAGAATTGGACTCTGTGCATAGCTCCCTTGCCATTGCTCCGGCTCCGATAGAGACGACAACGAGCCGAGGTTGATAGATCGCCAGGGTACTTTCATAATGAGACGGAATTCAACAGCCAAGTTCCTTTCTTTCACTTATGCACAATCTCTATTTTTAAAAGTAGTATCTAAATTATTTACCTGGTTTCCAAGACTAATGTGCCTCTGAAATGCCTTTTATAAAATGCCCTTTCACTACCAACGATAGAGGGGCGCTTACCGATCGTGTTAGTAAACATATTCCCCCCGTTGTTCCATGGGGCTCAATCCCCAACCCTGCCCATAGGCACATAGCAGCTATAAATGCGGGTAGAATAATATTACCGACAAGGAGTACAGGGATAGGAGTGAACATTTCTGGCCTATTGACCATTATCGACTAGCCCTATATACCCCTATATTTTTGGATCTCTGGGCTGCATGGTCAGCATGTTTGAGTTCTAACCAACAGATAGCGTCTCCGAGTCTCGAAGGGCTCTAAAAGCTATAATTGCGTATGGCTGGCTGATGACAGCTAGTAAGCTTTGACACTCTATACCCGAACTCCAAGGACCAGTTCGCTTTTAAAACAGCGTTACTTAAATTTTGCGAGTACTATTTTGATAACGACAATTTGTTCGAAGTCACATACAGATGTATATAATAATCCCACGTTTAACCAATGGTATTTTTCGAAGGTATTGCCTCATATAATCACCATATCAACTGTAACTACCTCAAAAACACCCCCCCAAAGACAAGCCTGTTTTTGTAGCTCTTCACATCCGCAATTTGTAAAATCACCCCTTTTTATTAAATCAAGCTTCACGAGGCAAAAATGTCCAATGAGCGACTGCAAACGGAGCTAGAAGAAACCCGGCAACGACTGCAAGATGCCATAAATGCAGAAACCGAAACACGAAACCGACAGTTTGCCTTCAAGAAGACCACCCGACGGAAGTTGAAGGAACTAAAGGCCAATCATATGGCAAGACTGGCGGAAATGAAGCGTCAGAGTAGAGCTCAGATGGAAGCCGACTGCAAACGATGTGAGGAAAGGCATCTCGAAGAAAACGCCCGTCATGTGGAGGAGCTTCAAGCAGCAATTGACAGGGTATGAAATTTGTTCCATTTGTTACTCGGAGGAGTTAAACTGCATTTTGGGAAGTTGTGCGACGATTTTGTTTCACGATTACTTACTGTTCACCTATCCAAAACGTCAATGTTTCTGAACTTTTATATGGCCCCAGGTGGGGCAGAGAATATAGGTTGGTTTTCGTCAAAGTCTGAGTAAATTTGGGGTTAGAGTTGACGTGAGGGCTGGGGTTCAGATTACAGCTACCATTAAAGGTAGTTTTAGAGTTCAGTTTCGGGTTAGGGTTGTTCTTGTGGCAAGGACACAAAAATATTTCGCCTTCCTATTATTTAGCGCTAGTTTACCTTTACAACGAGGGAGACAACGTTCTTAGTCCCATTTTCCCCGGAAGGGCGCAGTTAAGCAACTCCGACTGATCAAGTATCCTCCCCATCTGTATAGATAAAGAAAAGCGTCCTGCAGATTTAAATAACCCATAAGATATCATATCCATATATCACATTAATGTGCGTCATATCATGGAATATATATTCTCTATATATGATATGATAGAGTATATACTACCACGCGATCTTCCGCTTAAGTGCCACACATATTTATAGTCAGGCCGAATTCGAGGTATAATACTGACACTACCGGCTGTTTCTGAATATACATTGACTCAGTATCCCATCGTAACGCGTACGCTAATTCCCAATAGTCACACCACTTGGTAAGGTAAGGTACTATTAAATAAACCGTGAAGAATAAACTATATAACAATTCAAAAGTAGATACCCATATTCACTAACAAACGACTCGGCCAAATATGACGCCTGACTCTGGACAAGGAAAAAACGCGTGTTCGTCAACGTCAGAATTGTGCAGGAGAAAAATTTAACGATACACGCGCGTCACCGTTTCAAGGTCAAAGTCGATGTGAATAAACAACGAGGGAAGGGAACAGTATACATGCATGTCAAGTAGAATTTCACAAGAGACGGACGTGGAGAATTCCCAAATTGTTCAACTGAAAATAACATCGGTGCTAATGACCGATTACACGCCCCCAGGAACTGTGCGGGGCTGTGACAGTTACTGCTTTAGACGGGGCTATATTAATGAAAGAGAACGTTCGCGTTCCAGGTATTTGCATCAGTAAAGAAGACAGATGATCGAACGCCGGAACGATTTGTATTTTATTCGGAGCTTTCGGACTCGTACCGGAGTCCGTCGTCAGAGATGGGAAGCAGCGACAAAGGAGTGGCTGGTTATAGCCTGTGAACAAACAGTTAAAATTTGAACGTGTAAAAATCGATAATTGTTATGTTTGGGCGCCTAATGGCCATGTCAGCAGCGAAAACGGGGCGATTATGGAGGATGTTGGGCCAAGTAATTATGACGGGCGTCTGGCTCTGTACGCCAGCGCCAATAGGACACATCTGTTGATAGAATTCTCGTCCGTGGACCAGGCTTCAAAAAATTCTATGCTCGTCTTGTTTCACGCGTGGGCGAGTACCTCGACGGCAGCCAAGTTGAACTCATGGACGATGGACTCCGGTTAGAGTCCGAAAGCTCAGAATAAAACACAAATCGTTCCGGCGTTCGATCATCTGTCCTTTTTACCAAGGGGCTATATAATGTATTGCCTGAGGGATTGTCCCTCTCTTTTTCTGGAGTGCATTACTAATGTGCTAGGTTATCACAGGGCTCACTGCATGTCCTATTCGTGCTACTTTTAGTCAGCATGAATCCTTAAATAACACAGTACA